TGGTGTGTTTTCTAGTCTACATACATCAATGACTGGCAATAGGAGCAGGAGCTGGCGGCGAATAAAGAGAGGAAGAAGAGCCAAAAGACTAATAGATATTCCTTCTTCTCCTTTATCAGACTGGAATAAGTGACCAACAATAAAGAGAAGACATTGATCCCGAAGTGAGATATTGATAGACATCTTGGCGGGTGTGGCTAGATTTAGATTTATAGACTAATAATTGTGTGGTTTCACTCAATTCACTGGCTTTGTAGCATGTCCATGGTAAAAAACCTACATATAATTCACTAGAATGAAACTTTTTGCTATGAAATAGGCTAAAATTTTCCTACAAAATTTAGCAAAAGTATTAAATATTTGACAAGGATGCACTCGCCAGGGTTTCTCCTTATTGCCATAATTAAAAAACTTAAACTGGAATATAATAATTCTCCTTTTATAATTTTTTTCTGATACATATGTATGTTCTTAGAATGTTGGGTATAAGTTTCAGCTGATTTTGATCACATTTTTACAAATTTTTAAGTTGCTCCAAAATTGGACCAAAGTCCCTGTACTAGGAGGTCTTTGGCTAAATTTTGCCAAAAATGAAAAGGAGAAAGTTTGCCATTTTAATAATTTTTTCTGATACATATACATGTACTTATGTTCCATAGAAAGTTTGAGTTGATTCCATTTACATTTTAATTTTTTAAGTAAATTTTTAAGTTGTTAAAAATTTTTTTTACAAAACATACATACCGGTAAATCATAATGTATAGAATGAGAACATCAATGGTTAATGAGATAACCCTATCCATTTTGCACATTTATTTAAAGTGTAAATTACTGTGAATAAATAGACAAGCTGCTAATGATATTGATCCTGATTGTAAACTTCATAATACATGGATGCATCAAGAGTAGATAATATTATCTACTCTTGGACATATGCATGCATTATTAGATACAAAACTTACGTGTGTATGGTTCATGCACATAGTTTGTTACAGTACACAAACATGTTATTGTTTTGAGTTATCATGGCTTGTGACAAGTAAAGACTTTATCTACTTAATAGAAACTGTATAATTTCAGTGTCAAAAAATAACAATAAATGACATTGTCAGTATCAGGAGTGATTGTTGAGTGTCAGTGAAGTTATTAGTCAATGTCCGCCTTCCTCAGGTAAGACACTAGATGTGTATAATATCAACTGTATAGGTTTTGGATCATATTTTACAGACAGCAGTATCAGACCAACTCCTTTAGAGTGTGTATTATCTGGTGCTACTCTGAATGGTGGGCAATGGATTGACCCTAATGGAACAACTTGAACAATCTGTCCCTGCCCCTGTCAAGGCTCGAGATCTAGTCATAGATTTTTAATGTCCATGTATTAATCCTTTAGCTGGCAGGCATCCAGCTGTGATTTCAATGTAATATAACTGACTTTGTATCTATTACCACATAAAAAAGAAGTGAGCTGATAAAAACAAAGTATGATGGATAACTGGAGTTGTATGGCAATTAATTAACACTGAATCATTGAAAGCAATAGATACCATGAAAAACATATATTATTAAATGCCTTTTTAAATTGAATTTGTTGTCTTTTCATGATGACTTAAAAATACACTCATTAAATAAAAGCAGCTGTTTTAATGACTCAG